CCTCTTTCATATCGCGCCTGTGTACCTTTGAATGCGGGTCTGGCGAACGACAAAATATTTTTTTTTATGTCGAGAAGTCGGCTTTCAAACTGCCACCATGTTTTGTTAGTTTCTGCATTGTACGTTCATTAAAAAATGCACGTGTTTCTCATTGGCATTTCTACGATAAAGCGGGCACGTGTATTGTTTGCGCACGAGTTCATTCACAGTGCATCATCATAACAACTAAATTTCCATGCTACACAACCTTGCTTTAATGAAATATGGATCAACTTATAACTCAATTTTCTTCATCCCTTTTATTCACAAATATTTTATTTCCAATAATGAAAATTTCACACCAAGTTTCACACCCATACAAAACAACAAGTAAAACTATATATTCCAGTAATATATTTAAATCTTTTTTTTTTTGCATTTTATGGACGAGCTGGGGAGAAAAAATATTTTGAAATGCGTGGCAGCAAATATTTGTCGAGTTGCGCTTAGTTTCTCCACACACCGAATTTTCATTTGTTATCATTACTGTCAAATGTTTTGACTTGGCCACATTTTAAAGTATTTATTAGCTGCATTTTCAAAATAATTTTGTTTTGTAGTCTGATGACGAGGCATGAACGTATATTTAGTTTCTCTACCTTTAGTTCCAAGCGGAAATTCTTTTTCTATTTATATACAGCTTTAATATGCATCTCTGATAACAGAATTCTATTGAAAGATCAAAAATAATTCTTTCTAGAATTTAGCCAACCAGAGAAAGAAATCCTTTTAGCCGCGTTGTTTTGCGGATGCCGATAAGATCTGCTAACATATCTGTATATAACTATTCGTGGGTTTTGCATGCAGTATGAGTGGAAGCTGTGTGCCGATCTAAAACTTACACGTTATCCACAAGATCCGCTCAGTTATGGTCACATAAACCCTTTAGGCAAGGGACTGAAGTTGCTGGAACAAAGCATTTTTGCGAAAATAACCTCGAACTCTCGCATACAAAATCTCCAGGGAAATGTTCAGATAAAAAAAAATGCAATTCAAGTCTCGTGCATAAATGCTTCTGCTGTATTTTTATAATATTGCCTAAGAATATTAGCAGGTTCCTTTCGAAGTTCTGTATCCATTTTGTAGGCGTAACACACGACGCCACGAAGAGATTGCATATTTTAGCACGTTTAGAAAAAAAATTCCATAATCATGCCCATGAAAACGTGCGATAATACTAGTCACTTTTCCTGAAAATAAACAAAGCCTATTGGGAAATCTTTAGACTATTTAACGACATTATTTCAATTGTATACTTCATTAAAATCAGTTGAGATTTTTAGATATAAATGAATAGAAATGTAATGGGCAAGGAGCTCTGTATTGACTGTCGTAATATAACGAAGTTGCTGGTCATTTCCTTGTATTCTATGCAAACGTTAACAACTTGCTTCGTCTGGGAACAGATCACAATAAGCAGTGGAGAAAAATGGATGTTAACGTAGCTGATACTAAGACACGCCAGGAGTTTTCAGCTATAAAAGGATTAATTCAGCACTTGACATCTCATAAAAATCATTCTCGTGTATCTGTCAACATCAGATTCCTTCAGACGGAGTTTTGCATGAAACAAGTGAAGCAAAGTCGGCAGTTTTAGACGACGTAGACGAAACTCATTGCATGATACTCTGCTACGTCATGGTTTTATTTCTGTTTTTGCTTAAAGTGATTGTCTACCAACTGTATTATGTAATTTTTGTGAAACTTTTTTTCAGAAATTTTACGCTTAAACTTGACCTGAAATGTCACATTAGTACGTTAATATGAAGTTCAATCACACAAAATTTAACGTGTATAGTGGGAAGGGCCATTGAAATTTAACGGGGAGTGAATTCTTTCTTTACTTTATACCTTTCACTCTTCATTCACCTATCTCTTTCGTGCTTTTAGATATAGAGTACGTCTTAAACCAACCAAATGGTATTAGTTCTGACATCTAGCGTCATTACTAGGAACTTGGTCAGTTACGCATATCACATAGCTTAAGACGAATCCAGTCGAAAAGAAAAGAATTAAGAATTCACAACGTATCTCAAAGTAAAAACACGTATCTTTTTCAAGTATCAAGTGGTAAATAATGTTCAAGTATGTAATCCTTGAAAATCGCTGTCTTCTGCTTTGTTGCGCCGTGTATTCTGGTAAACTTCTACAAGAGTACGCGGTGCAACAACCCAGTAGACAGCCATCTTCAGACTCACCGCCGTGATAACCTCAAATCCTACATAAGTAATCCCTCTTTGTAGTGACAATCATACGAATTTTCGACCTTCGACCTCTAGAAAATGGAAACAATGATAGAAGGAGAACAAATAAGATATGTAGGCTTTAACTTGACACATTAACCAATAGATGGCATACATTGATGGGGTAGTGACTATGGTAGATGAAGGGGCGATCGCTTTTGTTTTTGGGTCACCTAGTTTAAAACTATCGATACGAAGCAAATTTCCGGTTGAATTTATCGATGGTGATACAAGAAACAGAAAGATGGTTGCTTCGGTTGAGGGTGGTCGTATGTGGTGGATTTCGGGTGTTATGAATTGTTGTTTACGCGGTAGGTGACGACACACGTTGAATTAAAGTTTCAATTCAACTTTAAATTTTGCATTCTCTACTTAACATCGTTATTTAAAAAAGACTGTTATATTTTTATTACTAAAATCTTTATCGAAATGTCGATCTTTAACAGTAGCAAAATGGCCTGATGACACAGTGTTACCACCCGCGAATTACGTAAGCCTGTAAATTAAATTATAATCCTGCAATTGCCAAGGAAATTTGTGGAAAATGGAGTTTTATATTGTGTTGCTGTAAATCGTGGGATAACTTGACATTTCTTAACAGAATAAGAGAACAGCAATTTGTCTATGGTGTAAACATAGGTCTGCCATGTTATCATTTCCTTTCCGGTTTAACGACCAAAATTCTGCAATGCGTTTGTCGATTTCTCCTCAACCTCAACTGGATGTTTTACAGACACGGTGCCTGAGCTGCAGTCAACTTTCATTGAGCAGGTCCTGAGACCTGGTTCCCCAGTATCCTTGCACTGCTCAGCTACAGGAAGTCCACCGCCACAGTTCTCGTGGTTCTTGGACGGAGAACTGCTCACAGCGTCCAGTGTGGGCCACAGGTACGCGATTGGACAGTACGTTGATCAGGCCGGTGACGTCATCAGCCACGTGAATATAAGCAGTGCCAGAGTCCAAGATGGCGGTCGCTATACTTGCAAAGCCAGCAATTCTCTTGGGTCTATCACTCATTCAGCCAGGCTCAATATTTACGGTGAGTTAAATACGTGATCTGTGTCTGGCTCAATATTTAAGAGGAGTCCACAATAACTTGAGACGGACTCAATATTGAGGGCGAGTTAAACGTATAATTTCTGTGGCACTCGGTATTTACAGTCAGATAAGTACATGATTTGCCGAATACTTTATATTCATAATGAATTGAAATACAATTTTGGCCTTACTCAGTGTTTACAGTGAGTTAAACCTGCAAGTTAAATTATAATTGTCCCCAATCCGTATATTATTTATTGCTAATACTTTTAATATCCAAAATAAACCATATTTCGATACGTGCTATCTGTTATATCAAGGAACTTGACATTTATACGTAAAAGCTGTTTATGAATCATCAAAATTGAGTTGTTTATTTATGGGTTTTGTTTTACTTTCAATGTAAACAGTGATTATTTCCTTAAACAGCGTCAACCAGTTGATCTTCGTAATGGTGAAGTGCGGTGTTTTCTTCGCGGTACGGACTGAATTCTTAAATGTTACTTTGACGAGTTTCGATTTTATAAGTGAGATACAACTGCTCATCCCCATACAACGCACGAAAGCTTACCGTTTCATTATAATTATATAAGATCCATTTCAATTTTATCCTCCCGTCTCCGAATAGGCTTTCCATGTGGTTCCTTACCTTCGGGTTTATTTAGGAAAATTTTTGAGTGCATTTCTTGTGTCTCTCACGCGAGCTACGTGTTTGTGTTTTGTGCCAGTTTGGAAATATTCTATTCACGTTTGCATGTTCACGTGTCAGGAGATGAAACGAAATGAAAGAATTCGAGACACGGCTGCTAATTCATTCGTCATTTCTACTGCACACTACCGCTACTGAATTTTTATTATATTTGCCTAAATGGAAACGTCTATCATCACGAACTCCCCTCTCTGAGACACTCGGAGAAATCGAAACCATTTGACCATTTTTTAGTTCCTTCCTTGAGCGCAGGTTGAAAAACTTCATTCCAAGGGTTTCTGCCTCTCCCATCGGACATTCTCACCATAGCCCCCCTCCCCCTCTCCCAAACCTCTCCTTCTAACTGAATTCATGAATAAAATTTGCTATTAATGGCGGACTTGGACATTATATATATAGGAAATACATAGAAACGGAGTAAATGACTTTTCTCACTAAGGACCGCACGTGAAGTGGAAGAAAAGTTCTTGGTCCATTTATTTTGTGCGATAGTCGCGGTGTTACATACGGACAGGGCGCTAAGGACCGCACGTGAAGTGGAAGAAACGTTCGTGGTCCATTTATTTTGTGCGATAGTCGTGGTGTTACATACCTTAACTTTTCAAAGCGCAGCGAGGACTATTGTCCTGTGTAGTACCTGCGCTGACGTTCAGTAACTCTGTACGTTGTGAGCTTCATCACAAATGCAAGAGGTTTGTCGGCCGTGTTGACACGAGAGTGTCTTCCAAAAATCTACCGGAATCTGCCCTGGCTTTGGTACCACACCCTTCTCGATCGGAAATTTAAGCTTTTTCGTTGTAATTATTTCTAACCTCTTTCCAGGTTCGCCCTACATCCGTGCCATCGGCACCCTCCACGCGGTAGCTGGGCATGACGTCACTTTGCGCTGCCCCTACTCGGGGTACCCGATAAGCGCTATCAGCTGGGAGCGACGAGGAAAGGAACTTCCTGCGGATCTACGCCGATCTCGTGGGAAAGGCGGTTCGCTGACCATTAGTCGCGTAGACCCAGCTGTGGACGCCGGCAGCTACGTTTGTTCGGTCCGTGGTAACAGCGGAGAACTTGCTCGAAGGGAGATCCAACTGACCGTGAACAGTGAGTACGTAAAGAGGCGTCAAGTGTGCGGTGAGCAACAGATCGAACCCGCGTTTCGACAGTTCAAGAAGCAACCGCGTGTCGATGTTGGTCTTCTGGGTGGTAACGACTGTGGACATCGTTGGTACTATATCTGCAGGTCCACACGGCGTTACAACTCGGAACACCAATATCGATATGTTCACCGCCTTGAGAACCACAAAGCTCACATAGTTTTGCACGTATTTTAACGGCATGAAACGTTTTCACTGTGGGCGAAAGAACATGGCTTCAGAATGTTTTAGAACTGCTGAGAAGAAGAATATTTAAACATAAGAAAGATAAAATGGCAGGAACAATGGAGAAAGCTGGGTAATGACAAGCTTCGTTATGTATACTTTTCATAAAATATTGTTAGTGTCATTAAATTAAGGCGAAAGTGATGGGTGGAGCATGTAGCACCCGAGAAATGCATACGCAGTTTTGGTGATAATGTGTATTACAGAGATACGTGTGGACAACTTTCAACTTCCAAAAGACAGAATTCAGTAACAAGCTTTTGTGAATATCGTAATGAATTCAGGGTTCCGTAAAAGTTGGTAACTTTCTTTCGGTCTTTATTCTTTTTCGATTTCTTCCTATCTCTTGATCTCCCACTGTGAAAATTCTTTTCTTGGCCGTGCCATAGTTCAGGCCGCGGTTAGTTACCGGCTTCTCGCCACGGAGGACTGGTTTCGCTCCCAGTTCAGTCCATGTGGTATATGTGGTGGACAAAGTGGAATTGGAAAAGGTTTTTCCCAGAGTTGTTTGAATTTCCTTCACCATCATCCCACCAGTTCTTCATAATTACTTATGTTGTCTGAGGGATGGACAATGTGCCCATTAGTGGCTGCAGTTCCACAGTGATAATAAATAATCTTCCAGTATTTCCCATTTGTTCTGTTTTTCTTTTTCTTCCAAGCTATATTTCATCACCATGCTCGAAAGAGCTGAACATTGCCATGTATCCTAAGCCAGTTGAATCCATACCACAACTTTACACCCTATTTATTAAATATTTATTTCAATGTCAGCCTCTCAAAACGTGACAGTGCAGTGATCTGTTACTTATTTGCTACATTCTGATTTTCAGATCCCCCAGTAATGGAACCGTTCTTCTTTCCATCCAGTCTGCAAGAGGGCAGCCGCGCTCAAGTCACATGCAGTATCTCTTCCGGTGACCTTCCCATTGAATTTGCGTGGCTTAAAGATGGTCAGCCGCTCCCACCTTCCCTCCAGGTAACTAATTGTAGTAGGATTCTGACATGTGATGGCTTTGGCCATTCAAGGAAAGTAGAACTGCAGGTTATTAAATTTTCTGCTTGAACTTCAGTGCTAGAAGTAAGAAGTATGATCTTAAAGCTTTGTAAGACTGTGTACAGGCTCATTATTCCTGGCCTTTCATTTGAAATAATTATATGCTTTAGAAACACGAAGTCTACTGAGTCAAAGAGTATTTGTTTATTCTAAAGTTGCAGCATTTTAATTATATCCTGATCTGTAGATTATTTGACTCTGCATTTGTTCTTATGATTCTGCAACATTGTTTTAATTTAGGCATAAGTAAACATATTTAACAGTTCCATCCACTCCCATTTTCACAATGTCTACCTGAGATCCTTCCTAATGCTATTCCATCTTCCAAGTTGACATTTCTGAAGAAATGTCTCCATTGTAATTCTGTATACATTCCTAACCTAACCTAACCAAACCTAACCTAACCTAACCTAACCTAAGCCACTTAGATTTCAGTATCTTAACAACAACAAGCGATCTTTACAAATCGTGAATTTCCTCACCTATCTCACATACGAGGTCTGTTCAAAATGTATCAGACCTTAATTTTTCCCACGGAAACAAATGAAGCATGGGAGGTGTCCTCTGGTGGGGGGAGGGGGGTGTAGGGGACCTTCATGCACACGTGTGAAATTTTTCCCCGCCCGCAGAGAGCATCAGTCGCCGGCAGGATCAAAAATCTTTCAACCACTTATAATTTATTTTTTCTGACATTTAAATATGCATCGTATCTGTTATTATTAAAGGTTGAAGAGAAGAAGGGTGGAGCCTTCTTCACGTTTCTGGTATTTAACCAGGTGACGTCACGACACAGTGGTTCTTACACCTGTGTTGCCAGCAATTCAGCAGCCACAGTCAATTACACAGCTCAGCTCCTTGTCAAAGGTCAGTTCATCATACTAGATTCAGAAGGTTAAGAAACCATAGCACTGAAGTCCTCATGTTATAAACACCAGGGAGTTCATCCGTAATTCTTAGAACTAATTTTGTTTACGTACACAGTATTATAATTGGTAAAAAGGCTCATAAGCCAACCCATAATTAAGTTAAAATATAGTACATTTGGAATGAATAACAGTAGAAAGCAAATTTACTGTAATACTTGTAATGAAATAAAGCTCTTTTGTTTTTGAGTCCTTTTATATATTTTTGTTTTCATTGTTCGTTCTCTTAAACATATATATGTAATTTATTACTTCAGGCTCAACAAATAATGAAGATTTCTGTCTTCTGGGTTGTTGCGCCGTGTAGTCTGGTCGATGTTAACCAACGTTTCAGAGGTCATACTGCCTCCGTCATCAGGGCGATGAATATCCCTGATGACTAAGGCAGTATGACCTCTGAAACGTTGGTTAACATCGACCAGACTACACGGCGCAACAACCCAGAAGACAGCAATCTTCATACCCACCACTGTGAAAACCTCAAATCTTACTTAAAAAATAATGTTTACATTTCTTAGTTGCTCCTCAGTGGGTAATGGAACCTCAAGATGTCGCCACATTAGCTGGAGGTTCACTTACAGTTCATTGCCAGGCTCAGGGGTTTCCACAGCCTCAGATTACATGGATGAGAGGACAGGGTAAGATCACAAGATATAAATATTGTTTATTATATATTTCCATTTGGCACGCACAAAATCAGCAGAATTTAATTGCGACGGACAAACACAATGCGTTATTTTTCACTCAGGTACATTAAAATATATGCTTCATTATAGTTAGTAGTCTAATGTGTGCCAAAAATGATCCAAATTTTTAAATGGGGTTTAATTTAATTTTAACACTATTAGAGAAGTGTGTATTGTGTAATTTTTGATTATGTTAACAACAAAATTAAAAATTACAAAACTGGATAATTTCAACTTTATTGTGGCAGGGGAAGTTAGAAATAAAATTAATTCAAGTTCTGGTGATACAGTTTCCTTAAAGTTGAGATTAAAGTTGTCGCTGTCAAAAGAGAATGTTGCGTGGGTTTCAGAACGGCTTTCTTCAGATTTTCAACCTCTAGACTACGCTGATGGCCGAACGGCACTTACTCCTAATGGAAGTCTGGTTATTCAGTCTGTCGGACCGAAGGATGAGGGGTACTACTTATGCAGAGCCGCAAACGGTATTGGTCCAGGCCTTAGCAAAGTGGTATCTCTTGCCGTTAATGGTAATTATAGTGCAAGCTTGTAATAGCATGCATTTATCTCACAATTAATACTACATTCTTTGTTAATGATTACATGATTAAGGTTTATTAGAATTTATTATTAACACGCCCAATTTAGCAGGTAAATTATCATCATTCTTCATTCATTAGTAAAATTTACCTGTGATTGTGATGTAATTTTTGTTTGTTCAGAACCAGTAAAATTTGATACACCAGCGAGGAATGTGACCGCTCGGCGAGGAGAGTCCGTGACACTGAGTTGCGACGTGAAGGGCGACCATCCCATACAGGTGTACTGGCTGTTCAACGAACAGAGAATTCATCACAATAACTACAGGTCAGGACAAGTTGAGGCCCTAAGCTATGATAAAGATTTATTTCACAAATGTACATTAATAATAAAAAAATGTTGTCGACGTGAAAATAAAAGAATGTGTCTAAATATACCGTGCACTGTGTCGATTGGTCATTCTTAAAAATACCAGTAATTGTAATTATACAGCATGATACATAATATACACACACATGCGCATGCACAATTAAAATGCTTCATTTGATGAAATCAGGAACGGAAAAGATTAAGTGTTTATAATGAATTACGGAGATGAACACTGCATTGAAATTTCTTCCAAATCCGTGTCACGCCAGTGCGCTCGTGATTAAGTATAACTCTTGTTTTATAAATCAAGCGTTGTTAATAAATACCAAAATATTTTATTGTGTTTTCAGGTTCAGTTTATCTGAAGTGAAGTTAGACACTGGTTTGCAGAGCCATCTTGTGATACAGCAGTCAGATCGTCAAGACTCAGGATTGTACGTCTGCGAGGCAGACAACATGTTTGGCCATTCTAAACAAACCACTCTCTTGGCAGTTCAAGGTAATTATTTACAGGAAACAAACTTTTGCCACTAATTTAATTTCAGAGGGTATTTACGGGTGAATCTTTAATTTTCCTAAGTATGGTAATTTAAGCCCTCGTGAATTCAGATTTACACAGCTTTTCAGAATCTAAGTAACATATTCTAAGTGGAGACGGAACAGAGAGCCAGCTGTTTTGATACATTAATAACTGCTGTAGTAGCTTCCTTGTTGAATTATTTCAGCACCTTTTACTAATTAAAAAATAATATATGTACTCTCAAAAACGTGTTTATAATATCATTCTTCTTCTTCTTCTATGGCTCTCCGGTCCGTATTCGGTCCATGGCCTCCTCAATTCTCCTCTGTCCGAGGCTTTGATCGAGGTTTCGAAACATCTTCCCTTTTACAGTGCAAGGTTGTTAGCCTTGCGACCAACCCCCAACCTGGAGGACCAGGGTACCTGTCTTAGTCTGACCTCTCCCCCTTGACCAATCTGGCTAGGGAGGCCCTACCAGTAGCTATGCTACCGCCAGCATAGCTCTTGGAGTCAAGCCCCACCACCATGACAAGGGGCAGGTACCATTAAGTGGGGATATAATATCATTACCATTATTAATATAACTGACATCTGAATCTATATGTTCATGGGTATTCTGTGTTGTCTTTACTCAGAAGAAATTGCTTACGTTTCATGACGCTAACAACCAATTGTCAAAAACTTTACTGGGATACTAGTGGAAGTGTTGCCTAATTCGCAGTGATATCCTGAGATAACCCCGTCTCTAGCAGTACAGAGGACATCAAAATTCGTCATGTAGCTACATACAACTGGTTATGTATATACATTATCTTCTTCTATTTCTGGTTTAACAATGTCTTTATACATTTTCTGATACCCTTTTACGGGTCCCAACTTTTCCGTTGGCTTGATCTATAGACATTTGGTAGGACTCCTTGGACGAGGGATCGGCCCGTCGCAAGGCCTCTACCTGTACACAGGACAGCACAACACAGAAAAACGTGGACAAACATCCATGGCTTGAGTGGGATTCAAACCCACTGTCCCTGCGACCAAGCGGCCCAAGGCCTACGCCTCAGACCGCGCGGCCACTGCGGACCCCGCATATACATTATGAAGTGGTAATTTTCTCTCTCTCTCCCTCTCTCTCTCTAGAGCCACCAGATCCACCAGTCAATTTGGAGGTGGTGGAAGTTGGTAGCCGTGCAGTAAGATTATCATGGCGACCACCATTTGATGGACACAGCAAACTGATTGGCTACAACGTTCAGTATAAAGCATCTCCTCCATCAAGCCATGGAGAAATAACCGACTGGCAGCATGCCAATACTCTTAACTTGTCCATTTCTGCTGTTGAAACTGGAGATCGGGCAGAGGGGTAACGACTAGTTCATACATCATTAAAAGAGATTCTGTTCTATGATGGAGTTTGATAATTAATTAGTTCACACATTTCGTACATCAGCTCTGTTGGTACAGTTATTTTTACTGAACTTGATCACGATATATAACTTCATGAAGAACATTCGGAAATAAAAGCCTCACAAAGTTTTAGTATGCAGCCATTAACCAGAGAAGGAAAATTAGTTATTTATTGTGTAAGATCTGAAGTTCTTACAGCAGAGAAGATGTGGATTTTTGTCTTCTATGCTCTGTTTTAGGTTGATGTCATTGTTTAAGGGGAAGTATCACCATCTTAAGGGTAGATCCTATAGATGGAATCTATGTTCCTCCAAAAGATTTGTAACTGCGTTTAGGATTACATGGTGACAGACCCCAGGAAACAGTATTCATCGACCAGACTACACAGCGCAACAACCCAGAAGACAGAAATTGGTACTTGTTGGTTATTGGGACACAAAACGGGAGAGTCAAATATCTGGACTTGGATTGGACGGAAAACTGCCCTTGCGTATCAGTATACCCATATACTCGGTTGTTGTTATCTGTTAGTTCATTCAGTTATTTATTACTGTTCGGTATCATATTAAAAATTTGTGATTCAACAGAGAGGCACGGCCCGACTTCATCTGGATTCATATTTAGCCGAGTTCATGTGGCGGCGTACAAATGATAACGGCAATATTTTTAAAATGATTCTAAAATCTCTAAGCGAATTTTGGCCTCCGGAGACAGGTTGTAACAACAATTAACATCTCATGCATATCCAAATAAAATATAATAATTTGTCATTTATTGAAATAAAATATAATAACTTTCAAGTATGTCATTTATCCACACACATTAACCTAACCTAACCTAACCTATTTTTAAAGCGATGTGTCCCGATAACCCACAAGTACCCAGAAATCTTCATACTTACCGCTGTGAAAACCTCAAATCTTACATGGTATTCAACAGGAATATTGATTATATTTAATTCGCTGAAGCTACAGTTTCTTCCTGTAGTATACAAAGCACGGAAAACTGAGCTGCGATACATGGCCGATAAATGTTGAAGCTTTAAAAACTTTCATACGCATCCAGATAGGGACGTAGTTTGTGCTTCAATGCTTTCCATTTTAGATACAAAATGAAATAAATCATATTTGAATACTGTGATATTGGCATAAACATTTGTTGCCAATATATTTTATTACGGTTACTTTACTTTATACGTCCAGTCTCTCTAATAACAATTGAATGCTATTTTTTTGTGCTGACGAATTAAAGATGATTGTGCACATACAAGTTCTCATACCTATGGCCTTGTTGTGACGTGCTCTTCTCAGGGGTGAGCAACAGCAACACACGTCAGTGCTAAGTGGGCTCCATCCCGCAACCACATACCACATTCGCATGTTGGCCATCAACGGTATCGAGCCCAGTGTCTTCACTGACCCGATAGCAGCCAAAACTCAGGAAGAAGGTCAGTGGTCTATACCTTCTTAATATGCATTTTTAACCTAACCTACAATAGAACATTTGTGAATTTATGAAGTATAAGCAGTAATATCTAACGTAAGGTTGCCCATATTAGAAATATAAAAGTTTATTAAACATTTAGAGTTAATGGCTCGCTTCTGGGTTTGGCCTACCATATACTGTGTAATCTGGTCTACCAAAATACATGGCGCTACAAGACAGCCATCTTCGTACTCAATGCCATGGGAACGTCAAATCAAACACATTTATAATTGTTAAATAATTAACTTCATTTAAGCAAAAGAAGACAAGTTCTGTAACAAACAATAAATGGAATAAATCAAAATCAAATTTAGAAACTGAATTGCAAGAAACTTGATGTAAAATTTACGAATTATTTTAAGGGTTTTTTTAAAGAAAATAATAAATTGCAATATGGTTATGTCACAGAATGTTTTGTTTTGTTAAGAGTAACTGATGAATTATTGTAACCTGACGTGCAGTTGTTTTTCATACATTTTTATGCAATAAGTACAAAGAGGAAGCCATGTCTGCCCATTTGTCTGCACGTTTCATGTCCGAAACCACAGGAAGTCTACACATAATTTAGCTGAGTACAAAGAGGAAGCCATGTCTGCCCAATTGTCTGCACGTTTCATGTCCGAAACAACAGGAAGTCTACACATAATTTAGCTAAGACATGGAATTCTGTCTTTGGCAGTGGACAAGCCCGAAATCTTCATTAGCAGTTGCGATAGATGGCAGTGTATGTCAAAGAAATTTTTGTATGTGATTATGCAATTACATAATTTCCTAATTTTGAGAGTTTATTTTTATTATGATCACGTAGATGATACCAACAAACTGACAACTGACAACCTACCTAGAACTGAAGTTCTGCTTACTGGATAGCTTAAGTGTACTGAAAATGTTACAAAAAAACAAAGCAACAATTTGTAACTTAACACAGACATACAAAGGGCAGTCACGTGCACCTGACATATGATATGCAAAGGTATTTAATGAACGCTGATTTTACATTTACAGCTCCTGTGGGACCCCCACAGAGTGTCCATATTGAGACGCTTGGTCCTGATCAGCTTCTTGCAACATGGAAGGTACTACTTTACAAATACCGAGTACTATTTGAAATCAAAATATACTTACGTTTCTGTACATATTTGGGAATATCCAGTGAAAATGTGGACTGTACTTCAACACTTCAGCCACATAGTCCAAAATCCATTACTGATCTTCTGTTACGTCATGATGGCCCTTGGCCAGTCCAAGGTGGTGAGGGAGACAAGAACAGTGGGAGGAAAGTTCTGGTGTTGGTAGCAAGACGAGGGGTGGCTGCGTAGCTACAGATCTTATGGTAAACATCAACAGTTCATGACAATGAGGCTAGCAGGAATTTTACTTATACAGTGAAACCTCGATGCATCGTTTTCGGCGGGGGTGGGAAATAAAAACGATAGATGCGGGAAAGCATTAAAAATTTAAAAAAAAAACAATGTTTCTCTTTCAAAGTTACTTCTTTTTACCAAAAAAGTCTTTAATGGACAACTGGTTTGTCGAAACTTTACGTTTTAGACCAAACAGAGTACTTTCCACGTTCAAAATGTTTTCCTCGTCACGTTCACTAATATTAAGCGCATAAAAGAACAACTTCACTTTCGCCAATGCAGCGTGCGCTTCGGCAAAACTCGGCAAAGCTTCGGGCTCGCATTCGTCGTCTTC